GGGCCAGCCTTGCAGGGAGAGCCATTGGGTAAATGAGCCCCAGGTGTCTTCATTAAGTAAGCAAAGGTCAGGTGTCCCACTGAGGGATGAAAGCTGGGACCACTTGCAGGAGGGGCAGTGTCTGTCTGTGAGGTGGATGCCCTGTGCAGAGTTTCCTGTTGGGGAAGGACCTCCTGGGACTGGGCTCCAGTCAGGTCTGGCCTTTGTAAGCGTGGGCTGTGTGGAGATTCAGTATGTGGCTTCCTTGGTCTGATGTGTTTGGTTTGTTGACTTGGTTGTCTCCCGTCCCTTCTATGGGAAACTGCATGTCACCATTTATTCCACCTATTATTGGTTGTGCGGTGTCATTGTTGGGGTCAGTGGGATTGATGTCAATTATGTATAATCCAACTTGTTTGCACCCCCAGCGCTCACTCATGTACTGACCCTTTTGTATCAAATAGAATTTGGTTATTGGTTCATCTTTATGCTGGCTGTGTCCTTTAAGCTAGGCCTAATAATTGGCAAAACAGGGGCCCCCAACATAAGAAGGACATGGACCTGCTCAAGTGGGTCCAGAGGAGGGACAGGAAAATGATCAGAGAGCTGGAGCACCTCTCCTGTGGCAAGAGGGTGAGAGAGTTGGAGTGCTTCAGCCTGAAGAGAAGGCTCCAGAGAGATCTTATTGAGGCCCCTTAAATATTTATTTAAATATTTAAAGGGGACTGTTTAAGAAAGACTGGTGGAGACTTTTACCAAGGCTTGTAGTCGCAAGACAGAGGGCAATGGTTTTAAATTGAAGGAGGGTAGATTTAGATTGGACATAAGGAAGAAATTTTTTATGATGAGGACGGTGAGGCCCTGGCACAGGTTGCCCAGAGCAGCTGTGGCCGCCCCCTCCCTGGCAGTGTTCAAGGCCAGGTTGGATGTGGCCTTGAGCAACCTGATCCTAGTGAAAGATGTCCCTGCCCGTGGCACCAGGGTTAGACTGGATCATCTGTAAAGGTCCCTTCCAACCTGAACCATTCTGTGATTTTTCAGAAATGACTGGTTTAGCAAAGTCTGAAATTAGTTTCATCTTTATCCTTTTTGAGAGAAAAAGGAGACAAGGAGTAGATTTTAACTTGGCACTTGCAAAAAATAGTGGCCACTACTGTTGCTTCCTACTATTGCTTCAGAGTCATCCCCTGTAGTCCTGTTCATCCCATGCAGGCCAGACCAGCTCTGGACAGGTCTGCACAAGTTGCCAGAACAGCCCAGCCACCTGCCCTGTTGCCAGTAGCTACTAATCTTTTTCATGTTACTGTTCCACAGCAAAATCCAGCACAAACATGCTGTACCATAGGCAGCTTCTGCAAAATCTTGAAATAAAAGTAGCATTTATGATGGAAAAGACTAATTAAAGCAGTTATATTTGCCCATGTTTGTTTTTTTTATACTACTTTTAAGAAGAGAAATATCTTTCAGTTTTTATCTCTTTCTTTTCCCTATCCCTCTCTCTTCTTCAAAAATTACTTTGCTACCTTTCAGTGCAATAAAAGCTGGACACAGATCCATCTTTGGAAGAGTGGCGGGAGGTAGCGTAGGCTGGGGTTGGGTCAATTTATTTTTCAGGCTTTTAAGTGAAACTGGAGGAAATTGTGAAACCAAGGTTGCAAGGAGAGGTGAGAAATACATTATTTCCTTTTCCTTTCAGATTACCAGTTCAGCTGGAGGACAAAAACACATGTTGAACAAAAAAATTATAGAGTGACTTAGTTTTTATAATCCTTCCTCTGTATGTGAAGGTAAAATAAAATGCCAATGACTCTTCTGTGTTAAGGAAAAAAAAATATCTTTTAACTTTTTGTTCAACATTCTCTTGTTTGTTTGGTGTGGTTTCCCAAGGCTACTATGCATTAACAATATCTGCCTTGTGCAAGTGCTTGCAGATCCTGCTGTTAGGCCACACCTCTGTGGGACTGGAAGGCCAGCTCTGGTGGCAGTGAGATGCATTTTCCATGTGCTCAAGTGATTCCGGAGATAGGACTTGAAGAATGATAGGGGGATTGGAGCTGTAAAGTGTTTGAACTTTGAGGATGCGAATTAAAAGTGACAATGAATGTTTAGAACGTCAGAACCCCTTGAGGGTTGCATGGGTTAAAGTAATATTCGGGTATTTACTTTCAGACAACTTATATAACAGGTTTTGTCAAGTTCAATGTTCATTATCTTCTTATGAGAGCAGCTTATGGAGGAGGGAAGAGATGCCGTTTATGAATCCTTCAGCTTCCCAACCTTGACATGCAAACCTAAATCTTGGAACTACTCGTATAAACAAGTTTAAGTGCATATTCATTGTTTGGAGACTTTGGGAAAAAATATTAGAAGTTTTCTGGGGAGTAGAGAAGCTTTGACTCTTATTTAAAGAAGAAAAACCAAACAAAGCCCCCTCCAACTCTTAGATATCTGGGGTAGATATTCAATGACAGGCAGAACAGGTTCAGGTCCTGGAAAAGTTAATGGGAACTGGATGCTTCATTCTTTTGACCTCCATAATTACTTCTTGCAAACCAGTTATCTATCAAAATGAGTTGCATTTGGATGAGTAGGTCCCAAAAGTCCCTGAAGCGGTTCTCAAAATCTTATTTCTGTACCTTGCATGCTGTCCTCTCCCTCCTTAATTTTTTAGGGGGCAGAGACCATTACAGCCTGCAGCTAATGTAGAAATACAATTTCTTTGCCAGCTTTAAAATACTGGGCACTTCTGGTGAAAGAAGCAGCAAAGCAGATGGCAAGTGAATTTGAAGCTTAGAAACTGTAGCCTTGAGTATTTCATGATCACACCGTCTGGATTATTATTTGACTGCCTGGCTTTAGAACTCAGCATGCCTTCAGCAGAAGGTAGCTTTGGGTTGAGGAGAAATTGTCAAAAGCATTATAGAAAAGTCTACTGTTGCTATAAATTTCTGCTCACAAGCTGAACTGTGATTTCAGTGTAACACGCTACTGCTTCCACTGGTACTTGTGGGAGCAGGATCACAGACAGGTGATTCATAACATCTTGAGATAGACTCCTGTGCTCGCATCTGATAGACTGGTGGATGAAGTGACCACCCTTCTGACATCTAACCAGTGGTTCCTGTTGTTCGTTTGCCTCCCTACTCTGTGCACTGGTAGACCTATGGGACATGACCCTGACTGACTACTCTTCTCCCCCAGATTTTCTAGCAGCTGTTCTTAATATGGATCTTAATATGTGACAAAGCACAACTGTAGGAGGTGGTAAGTTCTGGCACAGAGGTGGAAAAGACCCATGGGAGCAGGAATACTTTGTGAATGGAAACCTCAGCTCTTCGGGTCATTTTTAATGGGCATCTTCAACCATGTGTAGACACTGGAAAGCAGCAGTATACATAGTTTATGACTGTGTGACAATTATCTTCTGTTCTGGCTAAGCCACAGAGTGATCAGCTGGGAGTAACAGGCTGCTAGGCTAAGCGTTGATGTGCTTGCCAGCCCAGCACGGGTATGTGATGAGTCTCTGCTAGCCAGGCAGTTGTCAGTGAGGTGGGGAGGTGGTGCCCACCGTTGTTTCTCAGAGTGGGCCAGTCCTTCATCTTACCAGGTGTCCATCTTCTGACCCTCTAATTTTTGCTGAGGGTTTTATACCTTTTCTTGTTATTTTTGAGTCCTTAGGTGACTATTTCTGACTCCATAGTTTCTTTCCTTTATTTTTTTTTCATTTACCTTTCTCGCTTACTTTAGTTTGTGCTCCATTTACAAGAAGTTTTTCTGACTGAAGTGAAGACAAGGTCACAGCCAAGCCTCAGGTCACATTTTGGATGAACCTCAGAAGACTGGGTTATGAGTTACAGTTCCCTTCTTTGATGGTCTGATCTCTTTTGATCATGGATGCCATTGCCTTGTTGATGTTAGGGTCTGATATCAAGTTGATACCACTTACACCTCTGCCTAGTGGGCTGCAGCAGAGTTTAGAGTCTTAATGGCAGTGCTCAAATCAAAATCCAGTACTATCGTGTATGCAAACACCAGCCTAGTTAGTACCCCGGCTGGCTGCCATTCGTCTGGTATTTCAGTGTCAATCTGTCGCTGTTGAGGTTAAGTGGTCGTTGCCTTGTAAGGAAAAAATCTAGGTGCAGCAGGAAAAAAGCATTGAGTCATTAGGATGATGGAGAATTATTCATCCCATGCTTCTTGTGTGTTGTTAACGATTTTATATCCGATTAACTCTCTGTATTTGCTGTGGCCTTTGGAGTGTCTAGCTATGTGAAACCACTGTTTAATTCCTAAAATTATTTCTTTACTATGCTTTCTTAGTAGATTCTTAGTATCAGCTTCTCACACCAGGAGAAGACACTACTGAGCCTTTGACAAGTTTTCATCTCTGTAGAAATGTTTTTGATGGGAAGTGTCTTTATGTCTGTCCTGGTTTCAGCTGGGATAGTTAATTTTCTTCTTAGTAGCTGGTACAGTGCTGTGTTTTACATTTAGTGTGAGAATAACATTGATAACACACTGATGTTTTAGTTGTTGCTAAGTAGTGCTTATCCTAAGTGAAGTATTTTTCAGTTTCCCATGCTCTGCCAGCAAGCAGGTGCACAAGTGAAGTGAGTGAGTGGCTGTGTGGTGCTTAGTTGCTGACTGGGGTTAAACCATAAAGTGCCTTTAGTAGAGATCTGCTATGACCTTAAAATGTTTGTTCCTCTTCTTGTTGGTAGGTAGTGGACTAATGAGGTCTGTTCAGACTCATCCTGGATATGTCTTTTTCTATTGGCAGAGAGCTCTGGTTTTAATTAGAGTATGTGCAATGATTGACTTACCTACCAATGTCTGAGTGTCATCTTCTATCCCTAGTCACCATTCTGCAGGAAATGTGGCATCCCTAGTGTGGGAAGATCTATGCCCTTAACATTATAACTCTGATATCAGGATGAGAAATTACCATCCTGCTGTTGTTGGATGCCAGGGCTGTGCCTGTGTGCTTCCCCAGTGTAATTAATGATTAATTCTCTGGGCAGGTCAGTAGCTCTCCAGCTGGTCTCTGCAGAGATGAGGTGGACTGATTTGTGACAGAGAACTGACTTGAGACAAGGTGATTGGCTGAACTTGTAGCTTCAAACTGTAGAGCTCTTGCAAGACATCGGAAGGCTCTGTGTTGTTCTTCTGAACACTGCTGTCTGCTCAAAGGTGATACACCACAGGTTTGGGGAGCTGAGTAGCTCTACTGCATCATTGCAGGGAGCTGTGCTGATGGGCCCAAATCAATCATTGCCTCGTGTTCATTCCCCAGCTCCCACTGCCTGGTCAATTCAGTCAGCTCTTGCATGAGGGCACTGGTGGGCACCCCAGCTCAAGCAATTGTGGATTTTTTCCTTTGATCATTAATATTTTCCAAACCCTGTTTTGCCCGTCTTTTCCACCATGAGTGAGGTCTGTGTATCGGAGCAGCCCACATGTTCTGTCCACTACAATACCCTTTCCCAGCCTGACCTCTGGCCTGGAGATGGTGGCTTTTCTCTACTGCCCTTTTCATTTCATACAGGTGACACATCTGTGTGGTATGAATCTGCATGGAGTAGCTCAAAAGGTACCTCTTTCTTTTAGTTTCACACTTGTGTGCTGCCACGAAGATATGTCCTGCTTGTATAATCTTATTGTTAAGTCTGGCCCAGGTCAGACATCTGCATGTCTGATGATTTAAGAAACACTTTGGGTGTTGCATTCTGCCTGGAGAGGTGTTGCATCTGAGAAGCCAAACACGAGCCGCAGATGCACACTGTTGATCCTGTTATTGATGGTTCCATTTCTTAAACACCTTATTCTCAAATTTTGACTCTTCGTTGCAGTAGTGATCATTCAGTATTCTCCGCTTCAGAGCTCTCTGAACTGAACAAGTTGACTTGGAAACGAAGGAGTGCTTTGGGAGATGGGAGTGGAATGTGCTGCCTGGCAAGGTGTTTGTAATAAGAAATGTTCATACTGCTGTGAATCCGTGGCAGATGAGTGTGGACTGCTCCTTATTGCATAATGGAGAACACCCCTGAAATTCAGAAGTCTGTGAGCACCCTGCAAATTGGGTAAAACAAGGGCAAATATATTTTGATGCTTGTCAGATAAATAACTTGGTCTGCTCACTTTACCATGTGCTTCTTTGCCCTGAGGAGCTACTGGGTGGCCAGAGGGGGAACTGTGACTCTTCAACGCGACAGACCTGGTTCAAAGACATGGGAAGAAAATGCAGTAAATGCAGAAGATAAGCCTTGAAGGTTAATCACTTAAACACTAAGGAAAATTACTTTATCATTAGCCATATAGGCTTTGTGACATACAAAGGTGAGTAGATACAGTTGCTATTTTTCATGAAGCATATTCACTAGCCTGTGTATGTGTTATTTTAAGGATCATCCATGTGCTGTTGCACAAAAACCCATGATGATGTCATGACCAACTACAAACCTGTCGAATTTCCTGCATCATGTTTCTTGCAGGGAGTAACAATCCCTCCTGTGCCTGCAGCCCAGCACCTCAGCCTTTCTTTACTCTTGTGGTCTCATGCATCGGAAGGAAGCAGGATCTCTGACCCCTTGGCCAGTTGCAGCAGGTACCTGGAGTTGTGAAGGAGGAGAGGGGGGCTGTCCCAGGGCCAGCTTGCTCCCACCCAGCTTGGTGCCATCTGAAAACTGACTGAGGGTGCACTTGATCCCCTTGTCTAGGTCATCAATAAAGATGTTAAACAGGAGTGGCCCCAACACCGAGCCCTGGGGGACACCACTAGTGACCAGCTGCCAACTGGATTTAACTCCATTCACCACAACTCTTTGGGCCCGGTCGTCCAGCCAGTTTTTTACCCAGCAAAGCGTGTGCCCATCCAAGCCTCGAGCAGCCGGTTTCACCAGGAGAATGCTGTGGGAAACGGTGTAAAAAGCCTTGCTGAAGTCAAGGTAAACAACATCCACAGCCTTTTCCTTATCCAATAAGCAGGTCGCCCTGTTGTAGAAGCAGATCAGGTTTGTCAAGCAGGACCTGCCTTTCATAAACCCATGCTGACTGGGCCTGAGCATCTGGCTGTCCCTCATGTGTTGCAGATGGTACCCAGGATGAGCTGCTCCATCAGCTTCCCGGGCACTGAAATGAAAGAATTGTGAAACTCTTCACATGAAACTTTAGGCTTTCATTGCATATCCTCCTCCTGTACCCTGTGCAGATTTTTATGCCTGGATGAGCTATGGTAAAATAGGAGATCCAGGACTGTATATTCCATTTGGAAGGTCCAGACCATCATGCCAGCTTACATGAGCTAAATTTGTGAATTTGGTGTAATGAGCTGCAGATACTCTGGTATCTGTTTTTCAGCCGAATAATGATTTCAGTCATTCAATATAAGAACTGTAGTCATAGATCTTTTAGGAATGAGAGAAATAGCTTAACCTCTTAGTCTCTCTTTATCATTCAGTCCATAGTGCATGGGTACAGGACAATATCAAAACCGGGAAATGATGCAGTGATACATTCCCAATGTATTCCTCTATCCTCCAGCGATTTGTGACTCAGACTTACTGAGCCCTGGCAGCAACTCCATATTTAATAGCGTTTTCAGGACTGAAATTGTACAGTCACTTTTTGAACCCACATAAAACATTATTATCAGTTACATCTCATGGAAAGGATTTTAACAGCTAAACTATGTTTGAAACAGTTTTAAATGTTCTTAGGTACTTAGCCCTTACATACCTAAATACCTTTGGGAACCTGATTTTTGCTTCCTAAAGCCCTGGTGATCAAAGGCAGTGTCATGCATAACTTGGACAGGGAAGCCAAAACATGGACCTTCCCATCGAATCTCTCATCTTCAGTCTTTACTTAATTTCAAAATCGTTAGTTTCAGTATTGATACTTTGTGTTCAAGGGTGTTTGGCATCTAACACAGACAGTAATCCCTACTGGCCTGATACTTAGCCTGTAAAGCATTATAGATGCAGTGAGGAGGGTGGCTAGTTTCTCTTGTGTCCAAATAACTCAAGGTATACTCAGAAAATGGTAAGAAAGTAAGCATGCTTGAGGACATTGCCAATCCTCACTTGTAAATACGTGCCTTGAGCTGCTGCACAGTAACTGTGTGTACGCTCTTGTCCTGCATTGCAAACAGCACAAGTCTTGTTGACCACCATCACAAGCAGTTTCAATAAACTCAGCTTGCTTAGCTTTATAATAGTTTAAGAGCTCATCCACGGCCAGTTACTGAATGTTGATTGAAAGATACTGGCATTCAGGTGCAGGGAGATCTATTCCAATGAGCTACGATCATCTCGCTATCCTGAGTGCAAACTTCTGTTTTGTTGAGGAGGAGGAAAAAAAAGTAAAAAATGTAAAAGCAAGTGAGTGATCAGCAAGCTCAACAGAAAGCAAAGAATGGCCTCACTGTGATTATATCTCTTTCATGTTAAGGATTAGAGAAGACTACTGCAAAGTGAGCTGAACCTCCAAAGGATTGGTTTTGGTATGGAGAGGGTGAGGCTCACCACCTTACTCCCTAAAAGTCACCTTTCTTTTCCAGACACGTTGGGTTAGAACCTGGGTAGATCCCACCTCTGGGGAGCTGTAGGAAAAAGGGTGTTTATTTCCATATCACTTCCCACCAGTAAATCACCAGTCATTCATGCATTTCTTTCCATTAGTGATAGGCAGTATTTTTATACCAGTAGGCAGGAGCAACTTTTTCTTCAGATCTTTCTGATTAACTTGTTGAAACAAGGCCATCAAACACACTCCCTTTGTTTAAAAAAAAAAAAAAAAATTGCATTGACAGGACTAAAAATCATTACCCTGTTATGTACTGCTAAAAATGGTAAAATCCCTAAAACTGTCTCTTTATTCGTCACGACAGCCCAGCTGCATGCTGAGAACTGATCTTTCATTTCTTACTTCTATTTTGACTTCAGCACAACACCTGTTCCAATGAGAGAGTACTCTTGTGATGTTTGCAAGTTATACATTGCAACTCTGTGTGCAAGCAGGAGACAATGGGAGCTAGCTAAAGTTAGCAGTAGTAACAGTCAAAACTTGTGAATATGCTATGTAAGAGCAGCTTCCAGGAAGCATCTGTAGCTGCCATTTTAGCAGCTCTTCTTTCATTCTTTTTAACTCTAGGGTCAAATTTTCACATGAAAGTTTCTGAAGTAAATGTTAACCATGATACTGAATAATTTTTCTCCCCTTAGTCACTTCCACATTGATGCTTAGTGCAGATCCTCATACCCACACCACGCACTGTCTTTGGTGTCTTGAGACGGCCTCTAAGAATCTTTCTCCAGTTGGTGTCTGCACTCTGAAGTAGTTTAGTTTTTCTGCAGGGGTCTTTTTGACTGCTACCACACACTTCTGATGAAGTACTGTTATTATTTAAGCTAACTGGCCACAATACATGGAACTGCAAAATAATTTTCCTGACTTCTGATCCCGATTGACTTCTGGAACAAAGGACATGTTAGTGCTGCAGGCTCAGGCTTGGGGCTCTGTCCTCCTTCAGTAGCATTCTCCTAATCTTGCCTTCATGTACCTTTGCATGTCCTCAGCAAACAATACTTACTCCATAACTCCACAGTAGTATTAGGAATTTAATTAGCCACAGTGTTTGCCAAGTGCTTTGAAAATGAACACTGCAATATGAATTCCATGAGTTATTAGTATTTCAGTTCTTTCTTTATTGTGTTGTAGGATTCAAATGAAATCTTGCTGCCCCTGTGTGTTTCTAGAAAAAAAAAAAAAATCCCCCTACAAGTGCACACATCTCTTATACATTTTGTTAGAAACTGATTAGACCTGGAGACAAATTAGTCCTTCAGTCAAGTAGTTAAGCTGAAAACAATTTTGAAAAGAGGTCTCTGAAAAGAAAGAGATTTGACAATACAGACATGTAAGTACTATATATAATACTATAGTCATCAAAATTTTATCTTCTAACCTGCGGATGATATGGAATCAATTAAAGCAAACAAAAAACTCTAATATACAGAATTAAACATTGCTATTAAATATGCACTATTTTAACAGACTTCATTCTCTTTCATCCCCAGAGCTGGGAAACCTGTTTCAAAAACTGAAGACTTCCAGGATGAGAAATCTATCTACCTGCAAGAATATCTAATAGAATTGAACTGCCATCCAGGTTACCCTCCTTTCTTTTAGGGTATAGACAGCATCCTCATCTACAGCTTAAAGCAAACCAGTGAGAGAATTTCCTCAACGAAAATATCCATAGTATAGTGGATAGTTTTGCAGGCAATGACTGTAGTGTTAGTAAATTTCTTAAATTAAAGAACACAAGAGATAATTCCAGTGTTTTCTGAAGTGTAGAAGGTGTGGTGGACCATATCTTCAATCATTTACAGGATTTGGAAATTCCAGACTCTCAAAGTCCCACTTGAAATACCAAGGAAATTGTATTCTTTATTTATTTGGGGTCCTTTGAAACTCCCAGACTTAGTCAGCTCAGACATGACTCTTTGAAATAAATTGATTCAAATTCACTTGGTGTCTTAAGTGTTGTCCTTTGAAAGTGCATGATAGGGTCACAGATGAAGTAAAATGACTTTATAATGCATTGCAGAAGGACAAAGCGGTGTGTTATTTGCATCGATCCTTTCTAGTGCATTACTGAAGGACGTAGACTGAAGTACCAGTTTGTTGGGATTCTAGAGGGCTTTCTGCGAGAGAATGGACATGTGAGCAATCCTGCGTGAGAACAAGACTGATAAGAGCCTCAGCCTGAGCAAGAATGCCATAAGGACGTAACCCTGGATGGGGGAGGAGAAACTCGACGAGAGAAACAACCCCTGGAAGGCGCTGGGACGGAAGAGGAAGTTACATAAGGCAGGAAGCCTGGCAAGGCTGATGTGGCACTTTTTATCCAATTGTAAGAAGGTTTAAAGCGCGGGCTAAGTTAACTGCCCAGTCTTGAGGACTTGTACTGCATCTTACTCACGTGTGCGGGAGAACAGTATAAAAGGGCTTTCTTAGTTACAATAAACAGGCGTTGCTTGATCACATTGGTCGTGTGCGTGCTCAGCTCTCCCGCACCAGTTCAGCAGAGACCCAGAGTAGTTTACAAATAGGAACTGTGCTGATCAGCAAAGCTCAACTTTATGAAATACACCCAGTTTCTGTGATCAGTACATATCCCACCATGGGTCCCAAATCTGCTCTTCTCTGCTGTTTAGGTCTCAAGATAAGTTAATTTGCATGAAACTCAAAAACTTGAACATAAGGGCTCACCTAACTCAGTTTGGGTGTAGGTAACAGTATTGATGTTTCTATGACATAGCCAT